AGTTTTCCAGCTATAGTGAGAGCTGTGTCTGTATTCTAGACTCATTTTTGTAGACTAAAAGGTTAATAGGCAACTAGGGAAAACCTTCACTACCACTACATTACTTGTGCTGGCGTACAATTGACAGGAATCAGTATATTTTGCAGAAATGCCACCAGCTAGCACAGAGAAGACAATTTCAAACCCAAATGTGCAGTAAAGAGATTGATGATGGAAGCTCATAAGATAGCACCGAGAGACAATCAAAGTCATCATATTAAACTTATGTGTATTATTTAAATAAAAATATTTGATAAAAATGGTAAGAAATCAACATCTCTTGTGACAATTAACACCTGTCAAATGTCTTTGATGATTGAACAAAGCAACTTCATGATGAGGGAATTGCTTTTGAGAATTTAGAGATATGACCAACATTTCAAATATATGGTAGTAAAGAATATCTATTATCTTTTAAAGCACATAAACAGAGGTATAGAAAGATTTGTCCCTGCATCATTTTTCTTCATGTGTGAGACCTAATCTCAAGAAAGTAAATCAGCTGATTTCTATCATATGGAATTCAATTATTAAACCCAATAGATCTGTGTTCCTCTATATCTTGAATACTCATGATTCCTGTTGACACAACTGTGAGGCAGATACTGATGTCTTTACTAGAACAGGAAGTAGGAAACAGAAATATATTGTTATGGTTTTCTGGATATCTAAAAAAAAGACTAGAAACACATTTTGATGCATTAATCAGCTTTCCTTGCTTCAGAGAACAGACACAAAATTTCCCTGTGCCTCTTTAGTTCTATTTGAGGATATATAAGCTACCTTGATGTACGTACTCCAGAAAACAAAATTCTTCTGAGGTCTCTGAGCAAGTGGTGATGATGACAAATCTAACAAACAATAATCAACAGGTAGAATAATTGCACCCAATAATTTCATGTGTTTCACGGCACAGATTCTTTCTGACAAAGGAATGAAAATGTTTTTTCCTGGTGATATTGTAAGAGAGAATGTTTATGTATTGCCCCAGTACTACTGTATGTTATTATATGAAATACATAAACTTTTTCAGATGCAAATTTATTTTACTTTTGTACTGAAACACACAAAACAAGAACTTTGTAACATTTATGAACAGACTGAAGCAGTACATAAATTATAATACATTTCATCATCCATTTACAAATGAAATCAACCAAATGTTGAACAAATAATATCAAGATGATATATACATCCATTCAATTATGATTCGTGACACTTTCACGCATTTGAATTTAACAGTATTGAATGGCGTGAAAAACACAAGATGGCTCAATATTCCATACTATTAGGTCAGTCATGATAAGTCTGAAATATCCTATGACTGCCGAAATTGTTATTGAAAGTACTCCATTATATACAAGAAGATTTAGAGCAAAAGTCTTTAACACAATAGCATAAATATACTGATGACCCCCCCCCATTCACGGTTACAAACTGTCGAACTTTAATGGAAGCATCTCAAGGTCACAAGCAGACATTTAATCCTATTTGGACCAAAATGATTTGACCAATCACGGCCTAGTCGCTTTGTGACATCTTGATGGCTCCGGTGTTGCTAGGTTCTGGCACACAGATCCTGTGCCCCAATTTTATTTGACACTGCCCCGAATCCCCAGTTGGTGTCTAGAAAAATTAGAATAGCAAACCATGATTGATATCATATTGAAATGCCGAAAATTCCAGCACTTATGGGCCGGATCACCGAATTTTTAAGCACCTAGCGACGCCTCTTCTTGATAGAATCAACATCTAATATACTGTTTCTTTCGTAGAAAGTAGGCAATACTAACTCGAACAGTTATCTGTTTGAAGGTAATGTAGCCCAGTGTTGCTTTGTAATTATGGATATTCACCTTCCTGATGGAATGGCCTTTGAGGTAGCTGAAAATAGCAGTAATGTTATGGTTACTTCTGTAAAATTGTATTTATTAGTGAATACATGGCTGCTGGCATATCTGATGTTACTAATATATATCATTTTGCAAGAGTTAAACAATTTCTGAAGCTCAGTGAATTGTTGACCAAAATGTCTATGAGTTTGTGGGATTAGACCAGACAACTCTAGCTTGCTGTTACATAAACATTTTTTCCATCCCACTTCTGACACCAATTTGTTAGGTATCTGGTTGTTTGTTAATTTCCAGTAAA